GGTGGTGGTGGTGGTGGTGGTGGTGTTGGAACTGCACACTGGCATAACGAGCTTATTCGACCAATCCCAGACTGTCAATCAGACCACTAAGTAGGTCGTATGCAGTTAGAGGTGAGGCGTAGTTTGCTGACGTTTCGAGCCAATACGAACCAAAAGTGAACGTCTGGATTGTGAAAACATTCGGTAGTTCAAGTTCCGCCTCGTTTGTCTGCCAATCAATGTCTACTTGGTTGGATCGATCTGATAGTGGTTCATTGAACACTCCGCCCCGTCCCCGTCCCCAGCCCCCCTTCCCTCCCCTCGGTCGTGGATATGAACTCCAGGTAACTCATATTAGCATCAAGACCATCAAGAGTGCCTGATGCCTCCGAACAATCGAATGGGCTAATCCAAAAGAGTTTGAGTGACGTTCGAATCGAACAAAATGAAGGCGCCAGAGATTGACTCAACCACTGATAATTGCTTCAATCAATTTATAGGTAGTAACGAAAGAGTTGTTATCCCCCTTTTCGAGCGAAAGTGCCACCGAATGGTCCTAGAAACTAACGGATAAACAATGATCATCACCGATGTAAAACCAGAAAAAATATCATAAATGATCTAACATCTGTATGTATTTTATACATCCTCTGAGAAAACAGTGATGGCATTTATTATCTCTACATGATTATCGTTGTTGTGGGAAGCGAGAAAAACGAACAAATCAACTGAAAAGCTGAAGAGCAGTGGGAGATAACTGTTCTGGTTGAGTCGTATCAAGTAGCGGGAGAGCATCAAACAAACTGTGGATGGCGAACCCGGGACCTGACCAATGAGTGAAACGCAAGCATATTGTCCAGTTAATGACTGAGAAGCGGATCAAGTTGGTTCACATTGTCTATGCACAGTAAAGCACTTTATCAAGCAGCTCACAGAACCTGTTATTGACTGAGACATGTATGGGACCGTCGCGACATCCGACTGTCCGTGAAGGGTCAATTATATACTGCAGCAGTTAGACCAGTCCTGCTCGACGATGCAGAGACTTGGCCATTACGGGAAATAGATAATCCGTGTTCAAACACCGCTGTCTACGTCGCATTGCACGAGTCTGCTGAGGAAACCGGACAAGGAGGTTAGGTGTAAACTTTCAGGTAATCTCGGCCGTCCATTAAAGAAAGTGGTCGATCTCCACAGATTACGTTTGTTGGGACGTGTTGCGCATATCACCAAATAGGTTGCACGGCAAGCCGTGTTTGAGGAGGCAGTCAGTGTTTGGAAAA